CCTCCTCCTCCTCCTCCTCCTCCTCTTCCTCCTCTTCCTCTTCCTCCCCATCACCACGCTCACGAATCCTACACTTAAAAAGTCATACCCTTGGCCCTAGTTGGTGTGTCTCAGTGGTTAGAGTGTTGACCTGTGCACCAAAGGGTCTAGGGTTCAATTTTCTGTCAAGGGCACGTACCTGGGTTGCAGATTCGATCCCCGGCCTTGGTAGGGGCAAGTGCAGAAGGCAACCAATGTGTCTCTCTCAAATTGATGTTTTTTTCTCTCTTTCCCTTTCCTCTTCACCCCCTTTCTCTTTCTCCCTCTCTCCCTCCCACTCTCTCCAAAAATCAATGGAAAAATATCCTCGACTGAGGATTAACAAAAAACCTCCAAAAGAAGTTATACCCTCAATACTAAGTGATAGGTGGTTCAGGGAACCTGTGAGTTGATCAGATCAAAACTATAGCTATGGATCCAGTAGCCATGTCATTGATAACACCTCTTCCTCCTCTTCCTCTTCCTCCCCATCACCACGCTCACGAATCCTACACTTAAAAAGTCATACCCTTGGCCCTAGTTGGTGTGTCTCAGTGGTTAGAGTGTTGACCTGTGCACCAAAGGGTCTAGGGTTCAATTTTCTGTCAAGGGCACGTACCTGGGTTGCAGATTCGATCCCCGGCCTTGGTAGGGGCAAGTGCAGAAGGCAACCAATGTGTCTCTCTCAAATTGATGTTTTTTCTCTCTTTCCCTTTCCTCTTCACCCCCTCTCTCTTTCCCCCTCCCTCCCACTCTCTCTAAAAATCAATGGAAAAATATCCTCGACTGAGGATTAACAAAAAACCTCCAAAAGAAGTTATACCCTCAATACTAAGTGATAGGTGGTTCAGGGAACCTGTGAGTTGATCAGATCAAAACTATAGCTATGGATCCAGTAGCCATGTCATTGATAACACCCTGAGGGAGGAGTCAAACTCCAAGCCTAGTTACCTGCATACCAGCTTTTTTTAACTGTTAAAGCAGAGGTAACTAAAAATTTGAAATAAATCTTTAAAATCCAGATTAACATTATCTACACTAATAAAAGAGAAACATGGTAATTGGCGTACGACCGCTACCCTTTTCATTGGCTAATCAGTGAGTATATGCAAATTAACTGTCAGCCAAGATGGCGGCCGGCAGCCAGGCACTGAAGCGAGCAGGGAGGCTTGCTTGCTGCAGACTCCAACGTTCCCCGCCTCACTTGCCGGTCTCTCATCTGCAAGTCTAAGCAACTATATACTATGTTGCAAATAAGAAGCTAAACAAAACCCCAGAAAAGGGCTTCCATTCAGCCGGGCTCGGACCGCAACATTGTATCTATGTTTTCAGCAGCGAGGCCTCAGAGCTAAAGCTGGCCCAGAAAAAAAAAAAAAAAAA